TGACCACACATTTCTCTTCATAGAGCCCAGCCTCCCGGATAATCTGTTCTGCATACAGGTTGAAAAGGTATGGAGACAGGACACATCCCTGGCATACGCCCTTCCCAATTTTAAACCATGCAGTGTTTCCTTGCTCTGTTATGATGACTGCCTCTTGGACCAAGTATAGGTTTCTCATTAGCATGATCAAGTGTTCTGGTATTCCAATTCATCTCAGAGTCAGCGACAGTTTGTTATGATCTACACAGTCAAATGCCTTTGCACAGTCAATGAAACACAGATATACATTCCTCTGGTATTCCCTGCTTTCAGCTAAGATCCATCGAACATTAGCTACAATATCCCTAGTACCACGACCCCTTCCAAACCCAGCCTGGACTTCTGACAGTTCTCTGCTGATGTGTTGTTCCAGTCATTTTTGGATAATCTTCAGTAGAATCTTGCTTGCATGTGAAATCAACAATATTGTTCTATAGTTTCCACACTTTGTTGAGTCACCTTTCTTTGGAATGGGAACAAATATAGATCTCTTCCAGTCAGTTGGCCAAGTGGTTGATCTTTCTTTGCACAACTTGGTGAGCACATCCAGGGCAGCATCTGTTAGCTAAAATATGTCAACTGGTATACCATCAATTCAAATGCTGTTTCATGTACATACTAGTTATTTTCATATTCTTATTTTCATATATCTTTATCTCATATAACTAGCATATACACAAAACAGCATTTGAAACTGTAATATGTTAACAATCATCTCTAAAGCTTCACATGATGTTTTACAGAGTACCATCTAATTTTTGAGACTCAATTTTTTTATCTGAATTTTTCAAGAATCATGAACTGGTTTTACTTTTCAGTAGCTAAAAAGGATAGAAAAGTTGAGGCCGAAATTACGGCCATTTCACAACTTCCTATTCCTCTCAATTAGTCAGGAAGGTGGCAGGATTTCCAGGTTGCTTCCAAGGTCAAATAGGCAATGAAGCACCCAGGCTATGAAACTGTAGGAATAATGGATAGTCAGGGGCCAGCAAGTGATCGGGAAGAGACTTGCTTTCCAGTAAAACACTTCCTGCTTCTCATAAGCTGTAACACATTCATTGCCACTGGGTCAGAAATCACTCCGAGCTGACCCTCCAGTGAGTTTCTGACGTTGTAAAAAGCACATGAGGAGACTAACTTTTCCCCTCAGAGCCACAGGCTGGTTTGAAGTGCTAGAGACAGTCAGCCTTGGAATTCATATCACAACTCACCACAGACTACATGATCAGAAATAATTACCTGGCTACTTGCTGCCCCATCATTTTATCACCTTCCTTCAATCTTTTGGCTGTCAATCTGGAAAAAAAAAAAGAAAGAAAGAAATTCCATTCTTAAAACATAGTAGCACCTAGGGGAAACTGTCTAGATTTTAAGGTCACATAGGAAAGCTATAGGGCTGTGTGTGTGTGTGTGTGTGTGTGTGTGTGTACACAGAGATGAAACTAGGATACAAGAGAACAGTGTTACTGGATGAGGTGTGGCAGGAGAACTGTTAGAGGCGATTCTTCCCTGAGATCCTGAGGACATGCTGAGGATAATTTTATGTAACATTAACATGATGATCGTACCATTATGTTCAGCTGTGACTTTTAATATCTATTCAGTATCAACTTTAATATCTTCTCAAGACACTACTCATGCGTGTTATGCAAAATGCTTGCAACACAAAAAGGAATGCTGATTGGCATTTTTAAGCCGTATTTCTCACTGTAGATTTAAATCTGTATTAAACAGCTAAGAAAAAAATATTTAAAACAATGATGGCTCTAATTAATATCTAGACAAAAATAATATTGGTTGTTTTTTATTTAAGTCTCTTGTTTAGAGTCAACAAGACCTCGTGGAGGGCCTCTGCATTTAAAAGTCAGTTGTTAGTATATTTTGGAGGAACATTCTTCTAAGTGGTACAGCACTCTTCTGTCAATATGCTGTATTGAGGTAACATGGGGTTGCTGTGATGCTAAACTTTGTGCCACTGGGGTGTCAGATGCCATAACAGCTACCCATGGTGGACAGTGTTTGGTGGAGCTCCTAGTATAAGACAGGTTTGGAAACAGGAGTGGCATCCACTTCCTAAACAACATGCCTCTGGAAACTCTATGAACTTTGAGAAATGACAATAGTTATAGAAAGACTTCAGGTCTTTTGTTCATAGGGTCACTATGAGTCGTGCTCAACTCAACGGCAATAAACAAAAACAATATAGGAGTTAGGTGGTTCATGAAGGCTTTCATTCCTTCTCCTCTCACAGTTGTTCTTCTCCAGCTGGTGGGACTCAAGTCTGAGTCAATGCAATACAGGTAAAAGAAGGCAAGAGAATCTAATTTTAGTTTAAGCATTTCCTTTTATTGAAAATATTTACCCATAGTGAAATATAAAAAAAATGCCTTTGATTTCTTTTTCTTTTCTTTTTTTTCTCTTGGAGCAATTCTGGGTAGCAATGAAATGTTATAAAATAGCAGAATTGGTGCAACAATGAATGAATGGAAACCCTAAGTCTCTGTAAACTTTCATTAAATAAAAAAAAAATTTAAAAAAAAATGGTAGGACTGGAGCAATCCCTCACCAAGCTTCTCAAACCTTTTCCTGATAATGATAAACAAGGAGTAAAAAAGGAAAAAGTTCTTTTGATTGAGTTGGAGATTTTAAAACACACTACTTGAAAATAGTGCCCATCACAGCCAGAGAATTTTTAAGAGGAAAATACTACCTCATGTAAGGATCCACAGTGAGGAACAAAGCTTCAAGCAGGACTTCTACAAAACAAAAGCATTCCACAGTCAGATGCAGGCCTGGTGCCTTTCTCGTGATTTGCATCCTAAATAAGCACAGCCCTTCCAATCCTGGGTTGGCCTCTCCTCTGTGAATTGGCTATCTATTTAAGAGACAAGAGAGACTCTCTTTTGGTTCATCCTGGTTGACGTTAATTGTGGTTCAAATCCACTAGCTAGTACTCGGGAGAAAGATCGGCCATTTTCTCCTGTCCAATTTACAGCCTCTGAAAACCTGCTGGACGGTCAGCTATGAGTCAGTTCTAATACGACAGTACACAATACAACAGTAAACATTAATAATAATGCTATTACTTCACCACTTACTCCATGCTTTATATGGATTATTTGATTTTCCCAGCAGCCGTGTGAGATAGGTAAAATTGTTTTCACTTTTTATCAATGATGACTTTAAGCTTAGGTTAAGTAAACGGTCCAGGGCCACATTTGTAACTGCTACATTACAATGCTCAGATAGGGTTTCACTACCATCTTCAGTTAGTAGTAAAGAATGTCTTTTGTTAGAGTGACATCATACGTACATTTTCTGAAATCTCATCAAGATCCTGGCCATCATGATGTAGAAGTACTGAAAATGTTGCGATGCTACTCAGCTGCCTCCTCTTTTCTTAAAAAGTTACCTACCTGTAGAAACTTCTTATATTCTATTCTACAGAGCTAGTCTCCAAACATGTCGTGAAGTATGTTATTTCTCTCCCTTCACTTTCTTTAGGGTTGTCTTGTCCCCACTCCTTCCCCAAGTGGATAAGTGGCAAGGCTCAGATCTTCCTGTTCAGAGAGTCGCTATGAGTTGTAGGAGGCTCAGTGGCATCTAAGAATAATTCAATTCATAACAATATTCTCCTAGTTTTGCAATCTATGACTTACCTCCATCTTTCAAGGGTGGGAGCTCTGCTGTCTTCAATTCAAAGTTATCATTTGTGGGGCTGCCTTCAAAATGCTTCTTCAGGGTCCAGCTCTTAGCAAGAACCATCTTGAAACTTCTAGAATACAGTAAATATACACTCAAATATCATGCAGTTTCTGAATTCTTATGCTTTCCCAGCCATTGCAAGATCCACTCATAACATTCTTCTTCACCATCTGTTATCTACCATATTTATCTAGTATTTACTATGTGTCTGGTCTTGTGCTAAGCATATAATTTCATTTTATCCTTTAGGTATTATTATCTTTCTCACTGTACAAGATGAGGAAATCTCCAAGGAAAAGAAAATTGTAAAGCCACATAACTTTTTCCAAGTTACAGCGAGGGTTTCTCTGGAGACCATGAACAAAATGCTACCAGGAAATGTCTCATATTCTTTTCTACAAAGCTAATCTCCAAACACGTCTTTGGAGTAGATGCCATTTTTCTCCCTTTACTCCAAGTATTATTCTCTTAGTATTTTCTCTTGGCTTAGTGGTAAGGAGTTATTTTGCCAACCCAAAGGAACACGGTTTGAATCCAGTAACTGCTCTCTGGAAGAAAGCTGAGCAACTCTTCCCCAGTAATTTACTAAAAACCATCTGGAGGGTCAATTCATAATAACAACAACAAAAACTCCAATGAAGCAAAAAATTGTAAGAAAAAGGTTCAAATACAAAAAGCAGAATTAAAAAAGTTCATACTCATGTTTTAAATGATGGAGCAACATGTTCTCAGCAAAAACAAGGGTGAGAGGACTAGCCCCATAGCTAAACACAGTCTTTATTTGGCTTGAAAGGGAATCCAAACCCTTGTTGTGCTTACATTTGCCTGTTAAGAGTTAAACTAATTACATAACCTAATATTTGGCAGTTTTAATTCATTAAGAAGCTCTAGCACCTTCTCAAAAAGTTGGGAATAGAATGACCATTTCACCCAGAAATTACACTATTGAGAATATACCCTTAAGAAGCCAGAGCTGTGACTCAAACAAATGTATGTACATCATGTTTACTGCTGTTTTATTCACAATAACAAAGAGATGGAAGCAACACAAGTGCCTATCAACAAAAGAATGGATTGAAAAACTGTGGTACATTCATGTGGACTATTATGCAGCTGAAAAACAATAAACTGGTAAACCATAACACAACATAGGTAAGCCTAGAAGACACTATGCTGAGTGAAATAGCTCAGTCAGAAAGGACAAATACTGTATAACACCACTGCTATAAAACAGGACTGATATGGGGTGGGGAGAATAGGAAAAGCATGGATAGATAAAGGACAGATGAGGGGAAGAACTGTGACCGGAATATATGATTAGGCATCGTATGTATGACAATAATCTGGAACAAAGGATTCATTGCAAAGTGGGCTGGGGGAGAGGGGGAAAATGTGCAAAAATGAATGAACAAAAACCAACCTTTCTGTAAACATTTTTTAAAATTACAATTAAAAAAAAAAAAAAAAAAAAGACGGGCCTGGAAAGCAGAGGCAGTTGCTTGTGCCTACTGACCTGCAGCGATCTTCCTGTGGGTTCCTTTGAACTGAGTCCACATGGGTTTCACAACAGTAACACAAGATTACAGGTGTGGTGAAACTCATGTGAAACTATAGATTAGCTTCCATGGGTTTACCTTGTACACGGAGGATTAACTCGCTATGAGGAGCTGTATGTTAGAAAAGATACTGATTCTGCAGGAAAACTAGGGTGGGGTTCGAACGCCAGCCAGCCATAGAAGCAGAATCTCTGAGGTGGGTGAAAAAACTGAAATTGTTCACAACAGAATAATAAAAGAGCACAAGTAAATCTCTGTTTGCTTATTGGGTAATCTCACCTCGCTAAAGACAAGCCTGAAATACATGCCCAGCGAACCGCTTCTGCAAACCCGAAGCAGCAGGTCTGTTCTGCGCACTTGGCCTTGACATGACTCTGAATACACTTAAAACCACAAAGGACAGCAATCAGTTTCCCCTTACATAAATCCCTGAGAAGACGATTAACACTGCCCCGGAGCATTCTGCCTGGATGCAGCGTGCCCGTGCGAGCGGGGCTTCCCCACGTGTGAATCCTCCGGGAACAGCGCCAGCGCTGGGAAAAAATGGAAGCCTGTAGCGGAAAGGGGCACTTTCTCATTGTATGTGGAGCTTTCAAGACGGGACTGATCGTTTCTGGTCCGTTTCCCCCTAAAATAGCTATCGCTGCGAAGTCTAACTTCGCCCAAGTCCAGTAGGGCCCTTGGAGAGGGCAGGCCACAGGGGAACGATTAGGATCAGGAGTCGGCCACCAAGGTCAGAGAGAGGGGCCAGGTGCGGTGCTGGCTCCCACCCCGTCACCCTTTCCCCAACCCTCCCGAATGCCAGCTCTGCCTTCCTCCTTCCACACTCGCCCCGGCTTCCCCCAATTACCCTACTAGTTTGGAGTCCTAGTCAACTCCACAAACAACAATCGCAACGCCCCCTGGCCAGGTGCTGGCAGCTACAGGGCGCACCCTGCAGCGCTCACTCTTCTCGGATAGCTCCTTTTACTTCTTTCCAGTTTCCTCCGAAGGCAAAACAGAGCTCGGATTAGTCAGCACAGTCCGGAGAGCACAGTGCATACTGATAGGAGAGTCTAAAGGGAGGTGGAGGGGAGAAGGAGGTAGGAGGTGAGGGAAGTGAGTGCGAGGGGTGTCTACTCACAGTGCCCGGACTTCCTGGAGCGGGACAAGCAGGAACGGCGCGGACGCGCGCGGGGCCTGGCATTTATGGCCTAGAGGGAGGGAGGGCCGTCCCAGGGCGGGGCTGCGCAGGGTGAGGCGGGGGAGGAGGGGAGCCTTGCTCTTTCTAGAATCAAGGGCGGGAGACGCGGGTGAGAAGAAAAACGTAGGCTGTGCGGGGCGTGCGCACTGGAGGGTGCTAATCCCTCTTCCGGCCCATTCTGGGTCTGGTCCTGGTTTCCTCTTTGGCTCCGCAGACCAGACAGCCTAGCACTTTTCACGGACTAGTTCAAAGGTCGCCTCCCTTGTGAATCCTCCTCTGATTCCCTGACCCCTTGCCCGACACATGCTGTATAAATGTTACACAATTATTAAAGCAGTGAACGAGGTATAAGGGCCTTGAAATGTTCCTCCTCCTTAGCCTTCTCTTGAAGTAACTAGTGATTAGCTTTCCTTTCCGTTTTTACTTAGTACAGGGTATTGTGGTGTACCTTTGAGTTGAAACGGACCCATAGCTGACTCTTAAGCAGGTTTTCAGAGGCATGGCACTCCATCCTTCTCCCACTGAACGGCTGCATTTTTAATATATTAGGAATGAATCATATAAAAATATTAGTACTCAAACGCTTTAACTTGGGAAAAAAATGGCAATTTCAGTTGGTTAAACTTAATACTTACCGGGTCATGGTAAAAAATATGGCAGCAATTTACATTCTCACCGGGGACGTAGGTAAGCCCTGTTAACTAAGGGACTATGTCGTTTTTCCTTTTTAACCAGTCTGATACATGCACTTCAATTTTGGCACTGCCCCTTGCTTCTAACGCCTGAAACCTGACTTTATTCACACTGGTATCCCCTGCACCCTCAAATCAGTGCTCCTGAAATGTTATTAAATGATAGGAAGCAGGAATTGTTTACAAACACAGTATCTGAGAACTCGAGTTTCTAATTATTTACTGGGAAATTAGCTTTAAAAAGAAGAAGGATAATTATCTAATAATCACCGAAACCTGATTTTCACAATGTCCTGGTAGGCTGCATCACACATCCTGTTTCTATCAAGGACTCACTGAAACTGGCTTAGCCCCGCAAAATCACGTGGTCAAGCAAGAAACCCAGAGAAAGGGGCACCTTTTTATTCAGACTTCCTCCAGGGCTCTGACCTCTCTGAGACCACAGCCGATGAGCAGTGAAGAAATAAAATCTGAGCAGTTGGAGACACTGCATTAGTCCTCTGTATCATCTCAAGAGATGGAGAAAAAGATTATACCACAAAACATCTACAATGGGCCCAAGGTATGCTGCTTTGTTATTACCGTAATGACGATATCCAATTACAACATGTTCTTTCCCTTTTGGGACACAAAGAGTTACAGTTTCCTCTATTCTCTAACAGAAATATTACAAAGTAACCAAGATAGCAAGTTTGCACAACAAATGACAAAGAGCAAGATATAAGGCATTTGGAGAACATCTCATGCTTGGTATATCGGTGACAGAAATATCAGTTGCCTGTCCGGTACTCTTCTCCCATAAATCCTTACTGCATGCCCCAATTCTGTTTAGATAGAGTAACAGTTTACTCAAAGAACTCTATTTTCCAACTTTCTGTGGAGTTAGGGACCAGGTTATATATAACACACCTCTAATTAATAATATGTAAAGAGAAATTGGAATCAACTCCACAGCAATGGGTTTTTAAAGGTGGTCTTTTAGGAAAATCGCAATTTTTCTGATTAAAACAAAGCGGCAAACTCAGATGACATGTATCTTTTTTGTCTTTTGCCTTTCTTCCTGCGTAGAATATGGAATACTTCCAATGTGGCAGCAGAGAGATTAGAACTCTCATGCACTGTTGATGGGAATGCAAAATAATGCAACCTCTATGGAAGGCAGTTCGGTGTTTCCTCAAAAAGTTGAAAATAGAAGTACTGTTTAATCCAGCTATTCCACTACTGGGGATAAATCTTGAAGAAATAAGAGCGGCAGCACAAACAGATACATGTTTATTGCAGCATTATTCACAATAGCAAAGAGATGGAAATAGCACAAATGCCCATCTGCAAACAAATGAATAGAGAAACTGTGACCACACTGGATCACTACACATCAAAGGCGGGGGGGGGGGGGGATAAGATTTCTTGAAACACTACACTACATGGATGAGTATTAAAGGATATTATGCTGAGTTAAGTAAGTCATCACAAAAAACAAATACTATATAAACCCACTATTGGTTTAAAACTCAATTTAGAGAAAGGTTTACATGTGCAGAGAATCAATCTGATTGTAGGAGAGAAAAGAGAGAGAAATGAATGGATAGACAATGAGTACTTCATTGGAATAAGAGAAGGACAATGAATGGCCA